GATGAAATCTGATTTTTGCCGGCGTTCTGTTCTGTCGCCGGCGACTGATTTCCGCCGGAGCTCTGTTTCTGGCTGCTTGGAAATTTCATCTTGAAGCTGTTGGATTCGGCGTAAAGAGCATCAAAGGGGCTGAACATCGACATCATCTTCGAATTTCTACTAGCTTTTGAGATTTGAGATTTTGGAATTTTTGTTTCTTGACGAATAGAAGAAGTAGAAGGAATGGTAAATATTTATAATCGGTAATGAAAAGAAACCTAGAAGAGTGTAGAAAGAAAAAGAGAAGTTTGACAAGTTTTGAGTTTATGCAAGATTCACTGAAACTGGTTTGGTCGGTGAACGAACAGAGTCCACGTGGAATTTCTGAATGCGATTGGTTGTATATCAGATAATATTTTCAACAATAGCTCATTATTTTATTTTTCTCTAATTACCTAATCTTGTTCCAAACAAAACAAAATTAAAGCAAACTCTATATCAAATTATTCATAAATCATTATTAAACAGAGCATAGTTTAAAACAAAGGTGGTGAAGTAAGAGACGTAGTAGACATGAGAGCAAGTTTATATATAAATCATCATATTTAAATGGAGATTTTTGGTTCCTTTAGATCTTCTTGAGCAACTCAATGATGTTAACACCAAAGGCGTCGCAGACAACTTTGATGCCCTTGAAGCCTGATGCTTTAGCTAATGCCTCAAACTCTTTCTCGGTCCGTTCTTTGCCTCCGGGATTGTGAGCCAACATAATGCAGTCGACATGGACTACTTGTTTGGTCGATAGGCTTGAGTCTGGAGTCTCTGGAAGGATACATTCTGCTAATATCACTTTTCCGTTCTCTGGAAGCGCTTCGTAGCAGTTCTTCAAGAATTTCGTGCAGTGTTCGTCGCTCCAATCGTGGCATATCCACTGTTACAACAATGAGAGAAATCGAAAGAAAATGTTATGAGATTCGTTGAAGAATAACTTATAATGTCAAGGACTTTTCAGTGTAAGTAATTAGTCTTGATTTTGATCAAGAAAACTTGATGTATTACTAACCTTCATGAAGATGGCATCACCTTTGGGGACACTTACAAACATATCTCCTCCAACATGCTCAATACCTGCATTATTTTATTTATGTGTCAATATCTTAATCATAATCTAAAACCAAAATGATTCAAGAAAATCGGATTTTGCTAATTGTTAGGGAAATGTAATATACCGGGATGAGATGGAGCATCTTCAATGACGTGTTGGAGATCAAAGTTGATGCCTTTAAGGTTAGGGTACTTAGAGACAATCATTTTGAGAGTAGCACCAATGCCACCACCAACATCAACCAAAGAAGTCAATCCCTCGAAACCCTTATAGGTCTCGAGAATCTTCTTCATGGTGATTGTGGAATGGTTAGACATTCCATTGTTGAAGACCTTGTTGAATCTAGGGTCAGTCCCGTGGTACTCGAAAGCGCTCATACCATAAGCCTTGTTGAATGGAATCCCACCATCAAGAATTGCATCCTTCAAATGGTACCTGAAACAAGTCTCTTTGACATGAGTTTAAGAAA